CTGTGTGCTCACCTGTACCCCTGTACCCACACCTGAACCTGAGCCACGCCCAGCGACGCGTCGATGGCCGCCACCCCCTGGGGACACGGCAATGTCACCTGTGTCACCTGTGTCACCTGTGCTCACACCCATACCAACACCTGAACCTGTACCCACCCCTGTACCCAGACCTGTACTCACACCTGTACCCACACCTGAACCTGTGTGCCCTCACCTGTGTGCTCACCTGTACCCCTGTACCCACACCTGAACCTGAGCCACGCCCAGCGACGCGTCGATGGCCGCCACCCCCTGGGGACACGGCAATGTCACCTGTGTCACCTGTGTCACCTGTGTCACCTGTGTCACCTGTACTCACACCCATACCAACACCTGAACCTGTACCCACACCTGTACCCAGACCTGTACTCACACCTGTACCCACACCTGAACCTGAGCCACGCCCAGCGACGCCTCGATGGCTGCCACCGCCTGGGGACACCGCACTGTCACCTGTGTCACCTGTGTCACCTGTACTCACACCTGTACCTGTACCTGTACCTGTACCTGTACCTGTACCTGTACCTGTACCTGTACCCACACCTGTACCCTCACCTGTACCAGTACCTGTACCTGTACCTGTACCCACACCTGTACCCTCACCTGTCCCCCCCTGTCCCCCTGCCCCGTGCCCACCTCAGCCGGGATGTCCCACTGCAGGCGCTGGGGGGGGCCCAGCTGCCTCCGGGGGTCTCCCTTGCAGTGCCCCCCCTCGGTGTAGCCCAGATGGAACGTGTCGGTGGCCAGCATGAACTGGGGGGGACAGGGGGGCATTGGGGGGGGCAGCGACCCCCAGAGCCCCCAGACCCAAATTACATCACTCCCAGAGCCCCCAGACCCAAATTACATCACCCCCAGACCCAAATTCCATCATCCCCAGAGCCCCCAGACCCACAATTACATCACCCCCAGACCCACAATTACATCACCCCCAAATCCCCCAGACCCAAATTACATCACCCCCA